GATTCTTAACCTGTGGGTCCCCAGGTGTTTTGGCCTACAACTCCCAGAAATCCCAGCCAGTTTACCAGCTGTTAGGATTTCTGGGAGTTGAAGGCCAGAACATCTGGGGACCAACAGGTTGAGAACCACTGTTTGAAAGCAAACTTTAATAGAGTTTCTATGGTGTTAAATCTTACTTCCCATTTGGCATAGATCTTTTAAGACTATGACTAAGGTCCCATCCATTCAGCCCCTTTATTGTGGAAACTTCCGCAATAAAAGGGTGCTCTCCAGATGATGTTCTGACCAACACGCAATTAATTTGCCACAAACCAGGAAAACCCTGGTTTATGGTGAATTAATTAGATAGTGGATTTATTCTGCGCAATCTTGGAAGGTGTGGGATGAACCCACTACTTCTGGTGTCTGGACTGCAGTCCAGACACCATTCCCACAGTTTTATAGACTAAATTAGTCTGGAAAACTATGGGAATCCCACCCCCTTCCCACAGACCCCAAACCCCTTTAAAAAGTAAAATAAACTTACCTGGCCTCCATTACAGACTTTTTACTGTGTGTTTTCATTTACATTCATCTAATAATGCACACATATCTGAAACATTATTTTGCCTGGTGCCATACAGCACAGTAATAGGAATTCAGGTGTATGGGTAGTAGCCAAGGGGATCTGTCAATGAAACAACCTAATATTTATTTATTTATTTAAAACTTTTATATCACGATCTTCTCTACCTCCTTAGAGGGACTCAGACGGGCTAACAGCAAGGATTCAATGCTCATAATAAATTCTAAAACAACATACAGCAAACAATAGATTAAAATACATACAGGATAAAATACATGTAAGCCAAATCGCCAGGATAAAATCATGTCCAACTTAGTCCGCATATGTGGTCAATAATTTAGTCTATTTCAGGTCTCGGCCATTATTCTGAGAATGCTTCGTTCCATAGCCAGGATTTCACTAGCTTCCTGAAGGTTAGGAGGAAGGGGGTAGATCTGCTCTCAATTGGGAGAGAGTTCCATAGCCGAGGGGCCACCACAGAGATGGCCCTGTCTCTCATTCCAACCAGACATGATTGCGAATGTGGCGGGACCAAGAGCAGGGGCCCCTCCAGATGATCTTAACATCCTTGATGGTTCATAGATAATAGATAGATTATTCAAAATATCTGAGTAACCCGTTATCTATTTCTGCAATAAATAGTGAGTATATATAGAGGCAGTATTCAGATAGGGCATGTAACGAGTTCACTCTGTGAAGTTAGAGTTTTATTTCTATTTGGTGGGAGGCAAGCATTTGTTGAAAAAGTAGTGTGAATTCCACACAAAACTTCTCGTAAAGTTAATTTTTAGTTTCTTTGAAAGTATGAGACCTTTCCCCCCTCAATTTCTTAAACTGTTTGATTTTGTAAACCATAGAAGCTTTTTGGCAGCTGGTGTAACAACCATTAACACTCTGGGAAGCCTTCTGAAACTGCTAGGCTTGTAATTGCTTCCACACACAAATGAGATGGAAGCAATTGCAAGACACACACATGTGGCATCTTGCTTACATTTCTTGATGTTTTTGGTTCCCAGAGACTTCCTGGAACACTGATAATGTCTTTCAGTATGCTGTCAAAGGACCTGGGTAGCTTAAGAGGGGGGGGGGGGGAAACAACAACAGAGATTATTACAAATAAAAACCGGGGGGGGGGGGGGGGATTGTAGATGAACATATTACAATAATTATATGTAATGTATGAAGATAATGGTGTTATGTTTTAAATGTTTTGGCCTAGGGAGGGGGGAAGACTGTGAAATAAAAATGGCCAGTGTTTCTCCAGAGCTCATGTTTTAGAATAACAACTTTATGTTAATTAACTAGAGTACGTAGCTGGTTTGCCTGAGTGTCAGATGGTGCCTGCCTGCTTTCTCCTTTTTCCAGTTCTGAGAAGGCCTGCCTCACAATATCTCCATGGTATCACTCTGACAACTGTGTATGGGTTCTCTTTGTGGCTCTTCCTTTCCTTCCTCCATTTCCCTCATATAGCTCATCCCTCTCTCTTTTCTTCCTTTCTTGACTTCTTTCCTTCTTTTTTCTTTCCCCCCTCTCTCCCTTTGCCCTATCTTTCTCTTCCTTTCTCTTCTCTTTTTTCTCTTTCTTTCCCTCACCTCATACCTTTCCCCCTTTCCTTTCTCTTCCTTCCCTCCTTTTTCTTTCTCCTCTCTGTTTCTTCTTCCTTCTTTTTCTTTTGTCTTCTTTTTCTTTCCTCCTCTCCCCTCATACCTTTTCCTTCCCTCCCTTCCCCTCATACACATGCCACCTAGCAACAGGCAATCTGCTTTATTCTTTTTATTTTCCTGTCACATGACATATGGTCACTTCAAATGGCCACAGCCAATATATTTGACCCTTTTCTTTCCCTCTGTGCTGGGCCCGAAAGGGATGTGGTTTTTTTAAAAAAGTTCAAAGTCCTTAATTTTTTTATATTTGATAATAAAGGGTATGTGTGCCAAGTTTGGCCAAAATCCATCAAACTATGTAGGAGTTTTTATAGTACAAACCAACATACATACATACATGCATAGACTTTTACACATATAGATAGATTATTCATTTGATCATATTCCACCTTTCTGTTGAAATTGTCCACATGCTTGTGGATTTCAATGGCTTCTCTGTGTAGTCTGACATGGTAGTTGTGAGAGTGGTCCAGCACTTCTGTGTTCTCAAATAATATGCTGTGTCCAGGTTGGTTCATCAGGTGCTCTGCTATGGCTGATTTCTCTGGTTGGAGTAGTTTGCAGTGCCTTTCATGTTCCTTGATGCGTGTCTGGGCGCTTGAAATCCACAAGCATGTGGACAATTTCAACAGAAAGGAGGAAACCATGAAGATGAACAAAATCTGGCTACCAGTATTAAAAAACTCAAAAATTACAACAGCAAAACAACAGAGGGGAAACAAACAGGCACATAAAATCACTCTCAACAAGAGATTCCCCCAGGCGCTTCCAGGCCATTGATTGCAAATCAAGGTGATCAGCTGAAACATTCACAGCTAGCTCCAGCAGACAGGAGTCCTTTGTCTCACCCTGGTCATTCCACAGATATATAAACCCATTTTTCCTACTTCCAACAGACCTCACTACCTCTGAGGATGCTTGCCATAGATGCAGGCGAAACGTCAGGAGAAAAATTGCCTCCAGAACATGACCATATAGCCCGGAAAAACCTACAACAACCCAATAAAGGTTCTAATTTTGACAATATAATCTTAGATCATTAATGTTTGGGGACATAAATTGTGTTAATACCAAAAAAGAAGAAACATAAATTGACTTTCAATGTGTTGTTTCTTAGCTTTTCTGCATACCGTTAACTACATGAAGTGGAACCTCAACTTAAGAGCATCCCAATTCAAAGAGCATTTTGAGTTAAGAGCCATTGCTTGGGCCAGGTTTTAATTTGACATATGACAAGCATTTTGAGTTAAGAGCTAGCGCTAGAGGGAGCGCTAGCATGAGAGTACAAGGCTTTATGGTTTCAAGGGAGCAGCCTCTGTGCCTCGTGGTTTTATCCGCTTTGGGAGATTGCTGTCCACTTTGCTCTTGTCAGCTTTGTGGAACTTTGGGTTAGTTGATTTTGTGTGGTTCTTATTCCTTGTATGTTTGGCTTCATAAAGAGAGAGGGGGAGAAATTGCAAGAGAGGTGGGAAGCTGGAATGAGTACAGGATGAAGAAAATTATCCTTCTGCCTCTTCACTTTGTAGTTTTTGCTTCCTTGCCACAACTTACTGCTGTTATCATTGTGCCAAAACTTTGTGGTTCTACCATTTTGTAATATCTACCAAGACAGTTGAAATTTCTTTTATTGTTCTATATGAATGTGCATTTATACATTATTCGTTATTTATAATGTACGCTTTCTTAATTAAAATACATTAAAATTTGGGGACTTTTTTGGGAGGTGGAAAAGATTAGTAGCATTTCACTGCATTTCAACGGGAAAATTTGTTTTGTGATCAGAGTGATTTGAGTTAAGAGCTCAGTCACAGAATGAATCAGACTCTTAACTTAAGGTATCACTATACTTCTGAGACTAGCATATACCAACAACAATCCTCATTCTAATTCTGACTTGGAGGCAGGAAACACCTTGCTATTGTTACATAATTTGGAAATCTGTGCCAATCTAATGGAAATAATTTAGGGATCCACCAGTAAATACTAATCAAATTTCTATCCATCCATTATACAGAAATGTAGGATATATGAGCTATTAGTGGGAGGAGACTCTCTAACTTTACGCCTTAGGTCCAGGTTATTTGAAGGATGGTGTCTTCCAGTATGAGCATGTGAGAACTTGCCCATCTTCTGGAGTAGGCGTTCTCTCTATCCCATCACCCTCTCAAACTCATGTGGTGGAAACAAGGGAGAGGATCTTTTCACTGGTTGTTCCCAGACTCTGGAACTCCCTCCCTAGAGGCTCCATCTCTGCTTGGCTTTTGCAGTCAGGTGAAAACATACCTTTCACTTCAGACATTTGGTCATGTTGAACCTCCAGGCCCTGCACGTTGTACTGTAGAAGATACATGGAGAGGGCTAATGTTTTTTTATCTCCATTCTAAAAATGCTTTACTCTATTATTTCTATAATTCAACCTGCTGTTAAATGCACAGGATGAGATCATTCTAATTAGCTGGCAGCCCCACTGAGAGTTGTGTGCTGGATGTCTACAATGCTGTCTTTGGAACCTGCATATTGGATTTTGTGAAATCTAGCATCTGGTCGCTAGTAATCCACAGAACACAAGAGATGACCTGGGGCCTATTTTTCTCTGGGTGACCTAGATCACAAAGTTGTCGCAAGAATGGTGTGGGGAAGAACAGAATCATGAAAATCTATCACCTTGTGGTTATTGAGGAAAAGGTGGGATATATGTGTACTAATAAATAACACCATTACAAGCAGATATTAAAATATTCTTTTATATTATTCATGTTTTTCTAACATAGGGGAATATATAAAAAATTGGAGGCCGAGATACTTCCTATTGAAGACAGATGGGTCTTTCATCGGGTATAAGGAGAAGCCTCAAGATGTGGATCTGCCATATCCTCTTAATAATTTTTCAGTAGCAAGTAAGTATCTTCAACGACATTTATTTTTAAGCCTTATAAAACTTATAGAAAAGTGGGAAGGCTTTTCAAATGCATCTTAGTATTGTCCCCCCCCCCCCAATGTTTAAATTCTTAGAATTGAGCAGTAAAATGGAAGATATATATGTATTCATTAATCTTATTGAACTAAGTTGTATTAGCTACATGGTTTATTCACTTGTGAAATTCACTGAATTTATTACAATTTTTGAGTAAAGATGAATGAAACGGTGTTGCAGTACTAGCAATGCACTGCATGATACATTGGTTTTCATATACATAAAATAACATTATAATTTCCCTGTTGAAATAGCTTCACTGACTAACAATTTGTTACCAGGATACTTTAAAAGTGCTGGTTATGATGTTCAGGCTATCTGAACGATTCTATTTCTCTATATGAAGCTGCCAGCGTTTGAAGATCCTCAAAGGAGAGTTTTCTCCCAGTTCCACCGCTATCATGGCCTGTCTCGTGTGGATGAATAGAATGGAATAAAATAAAATACGAGAGTGAGTCTGGATGCCTGGCTTCTAAACTTATTTAAGTCTTTCTATCCAAATTTATTCCATTTTCCTGAACTTGTGATACACACCAAAGTAATTGTTACTTGGTTTAACCCTATTCTTTTAGGAACAGTGGCTCAGAAACTCTGACATGGAGACCAAATATTATAGTCTCAGGTGTAAAATCCAATTTTGTCACCATATTGCAACAGTATTGTACCATATAGGCTTTTGAAACAGATTTCAGTTTCACTAAGATGAATAAAGTTATAGATTAATTCAAGCTACTTCTGGTTTAATGATTACCTGACCTCTTTCCCCCCCTCCTTTTAAAAGGAATCTCATTTAATTTAATTCATTTCATCTCTATCCAAAAAAGGTTTTGTTAAAAAATAAATTTACATTTTTAACTAAAAATTGAGTCACATTTTTTTCCAACTGGTTCTGACTGCTTCCTCATGAAATTAGTAAGAATGAGCATCCTACCAGATTGCACCATCGTTCCATATTGTTCAGCGTTGTTTTGAATGACTTCTTCAGGGATTTTCACACCCTTGTCTCTAGCAGCTTGTCATTAATGTTGAGGACTTCAGAACACAATGCTGTTTTAAGATTGCAGCCCTGTGTACACCTAAGAAGGAGTAAGCTCCACTGAACTCTTTGGAATTAACCACTGAGTTTGTCTGTATCAGATCAAGCTGTAACACATGAGCATTTGCTTAACGAAGGTTGTACATTGTAATGCAACCTTTGTATTTTGAATGGAAAGCCAAATGAACTTACAAGTCACTGCTACAATTTCAAAAGTTTAGAATTTAAATAGCAAATTTGCATTGCAAACCCTTTCATAGAAAAAGGAGAGCTGTGTAGCACTTCCCTGTATATATCTTTTTCATTCATAGGTATATAAATTAATTAATATACAGTATTTAGTATATTTTATGTCTCATAGATTAGGGTAGGCATTCGAAACATTACAATTGAGAAAATTTAGTGATGTTTTATCTTTATTTTCAGAAAATTCAAATTAGTAATCTTACTTTTTAAACTAGAACTAGTAAAAATAAAATGGTTGGGAGCTCCATGCACCTATCCAAAACACTCTTTTTTTGAAATAGTTTTTATTTATTTGGGTGTGGATTTTGGGGAAAAGGGGGTGGAAAATTTGGGGAACGGGAAGAAATAGTATCTAGGGAGAGGGAAAATAAAAAGGGGGAGCCCTGTTGCTGAAGGAGAAGAAAATAGAGGTAAAAAAATAAACACTCTTTATAGACTCATTATATGTTTATAGCTCCCTATGCCTGTGTATCTTTAAAATTTGGTTTATTTTCCCAAACAAACTTTAACTTGAATACTGTTTTCTCTATTACTTCTTTGCCTTGGTCTTTGTGCGTGTGTGTCTGTGCCTGGAACCTTTCAGATCTCAAGATTTTTTATGCTAGTTCAGTTGTTCTAGGAGCCCCTGGTGGCGCAGTGGGTTAAACCCCTGTGCCGTCAGGATTGAAGACCGACAGGTCGCAGGTTCGAATCTGGGGAGAGGCAGATGAGCTCCCTCTATCAGCTCCAGCTCCTCATATGGGGACATGAGAGAAGCCTCCTACAAGGATGATAAAAACATCAAAACATCTGGGCGTCTCCTGGGCAACGTCCTTGCAGATGGCCAATTCTCTCACACCAGAAGCAGCTTGCAGTTTCTCAAATTGCTCCTGACACAACAAAAGAAAAAAAAAGTCCTTCTAATTTATCTATATGCAATAAGTACTTTACTTTCAATTCTCTTTTATCCATTAGTACATTCTCCCCCAGATTTTTTAGTGTCTGTGCTTTCCCTTCTCATTACATCTTTCTCATCTTAATAATCATTGTCCTTTCTTTTTCATTGCATGAATTGCCATCATTTTTCATTTTCTGAAGAAGACTGTCCCCAATGCCTGTAGGCTCACAGACCTTGTTTAAATTATTCATTTAGTGCAAAGGTAAAATTGTCTTCACAGATGGTCATAAAATGGCAAACCTTGTAGGCTCCATATCCTCACCTAAACTCTCAGTTCCTTTTTGTCTGTTGCATCAACAGCATATAAAGAACATTTCAAGAGCTGTCTTCTTCATTGGTTTTGTAGCTTTTTGATATTTGACTACTCTTTCAGGTTAGTGTAGCATAGTTAAAAAACAAGCTGTGTAAAAAGGAATGATCTCAGCAGGGGAGGCCGCGCTTGGGTCGAGGCCTCACTTGTTATCTCTTTTGGATTGCTTCTGGATTACTAAGTGGATTTTGATAATCATTGACCATGATATTGGTATGGGACTTCAAGGGACTGTTTGACAGTGTTTTGCAGTGGTTCCATTCTTTTCTGGAAGGAAAATCCCAGGACATGATGCTGCAAGGTTTCTTTTTGATCCCATGGAGACTTGGTATTGTCTCCTATACTGTTCAAATCTACATGGAACTACTAGGAAAGGTTATCCAGAATTTTGAGGACGGGTGTCACCACCATGCTAATGGCACTCAACTCTATCCATCTTTTTCTAATTCCAATGAAGCTTTCTAGGTACTAAACCAGTTTCTGCTGTTGATCATGAGCAAACAAATAGAAGAAACTTAATATACTCAAACTAGGTTCTTTTTTGTTAAAGCACCTGAAGAAACCCCATCTTCTATAGATGTCTTCCCAACATTTGGACAGTTCTTTTGGGTTTGCATAGGAAATTGTAAATTTGTAAGCATCTTTGAACAAATTATATTACAGTCTAAATTTAGCTCTGTTATTGTGGCATCCTCATTGGGGAATAAAATCCTCTGGTATGACCAGATAAGAAAAGTAAAAAAGACTTGAATCAATGGTCAAACAAGCATACCTTTCAGCCTTTTTAGTTAAGATTGTCAACCACCATCCATGTTTAGGTTGGTACCAGCTGTTCTTGTGAAACAAGACCATTGATGGAGCATCTGTCATAAGAGAAGAAATAAGTGACTTGTTTGTTCTTTGTTGAAGCAGGGAACATATGCTGGGAGCAGAGCAAGTATGCTGCAGATTGTTCTTCAAAGTCTCTCATCTGTGTACTTACTCTGAGAATGTATTGCTGTCTTCACTCAAGGGTTTTCAACCAAGACTCAATACTAGGAAAAATATTAAAATGAATGATAAAAGTGTTTGTTTGCAAGTATTTGGATGGCAATACTGTATTAGAAACCAGCATGGGTTTGTCAAGTACAAATATTGCTAAACTTAACACAAACATCTGTCATAAGAAAAGAAAGTGACTTGTTTGTTTACTTGACATGTTAAAACATACATTTTACTAGTTTAGTATATGCTGGGATGCTATAGTTTACCTGGATTTCAACAAAACATTAACAAACTCTCCCTTGATACTTGTATCAGTAAACAAATGAATTAAAACACTATCAGATGGGTTAATAGTTGGTTGGAAAACTCTTTTATAAGAGTTGTTATCAATGGCTGCTCTTCCAACTGGCAGGAAATTGTGAAAAGGAAAATAATATTTTAACCTGCATTAATAGAAAGACAAGATAAATAATAGTCCCACTATATTCTGCACTAGTCAGAACTCATATGGAGTATTACATTCAATTCTACACACCTCGTTTTTAGGACAAATTGGAGCAGTTACAGAGAACGGCAACAAGGTTATAGAAAACAAAACATGAGAAAAGGTTGAAGGAGTTTATAATGTTCAGTCTGGTGATATGATTTCACTTTAAATATTTAAAAGACCATCTTACAGAAGAAGGTGCAGGTTTGTTCACTGCTGCCCAAAGCAGTAGAACCAGGTCCATTTTTTTGCATTTAATTCTGTTGTATTTTGCATCAGGGAAAATGTATCTAAAACCTGGCTAGAGTTTTACATGAGCAATGTTGTTACATTTTTATAACTAAGTAACATGTCAGAGCCCAACCCCTCTCCAAACTTACTTTACTAAGCATATGGCAATTGGTGTATAGGTCAATGACTTTTCCACCCCATCCCCACTAGCGAGCGAAGCTACAGTATCAAACTATGAGAAGGACCTTATTTCTGATTGTCTCAGCCTTCTTGTGGCAGGAGAGTGGAAATGTCATCCATGTTCCTTCTGACTGTCAGCAGAACAGAGCTTCTCTCAGCGCGACTGATGCCTGGTAAAGTAGAATTAGGAAGGCAGTTATGATCTTGGCACTACTCCCACAATTCTGACTATATAGGTGTCATGGCTATGAATCAGTTACAAAAGTGTAACTGTAGATTGTGTTGATTCTTAAGACAAATTATTTCCAATTTCAAGAATACTTAGGTGCAAAAGGCGAAAGATTTATACGATCTGAAGAGAAACCAGAGAAACCAGGTCAACAATCAGGAGACGGAGCGTATAAACATCGAAAAAGGCACCAGGCAGGGATGCCCTTTATCCCCCTTGCTGTTCATCCTGACCCTAGAAATCCTACTGGAGGAAATTAGAAAGGACAAAAACCTGAAGGGTA